GGAGGTGGCACTTGCAGGAGCGAGCCAGCTGCAATGGTGGCTGTGGGCTTTCTCCTAGGCATGTGTTGCTCCAAGGACATGACCATTCAACACAGATGGTGGACAGGGATCTGGGGATTACCCAAGTTCTCTATTTTGAGTCCTTGATGGGCATGCAGGGGAAAAAGAAACTCAAACACCTCACCTGTGTGCACTCTTGGTTACCCCAGTGGGGATTGTGGGGGAGTCTCTGCTCACGGATGTAATGTTCTTGTGCAAGGGGGGACTAAAAGAGTGTATATGGCGAATGAGAGATTGCTATGGTCATGAGTCCCACCTGAGTCCTCCACCTTAGCCTCAGGCAGTCTGTGATGTGAATGTCAAAGTGCAGCAGGCTTCAGGGCCTCAGTTGATCTCAAGGTAGCCCAAGCCAACCAGAAACAGTCTGCCACCATGGAGTTTGCCTTTGGGACCCATTTTCTCCCAGACCAGCTAGAAAGCAGCCACTAGCAAGGGTGGAGTTTCTGGGATATGGTGGATGGAACTGCTCAGGACTTTTTTTTTTCTTTCCTGAACATGAGTTTTAGCAGATCGTGGCTGTCATGGCTATGGGCAAAACAGTTTCCCATGAAGGCTCAGAGGGCCCTCCTAGTCCATGACAGGAGCACAGATTTTTAAAATTTCCCTCATTCACCTTCCCTACTGCATCTGGAGGTTTCTGGAGTCTATGCTGTGTTCCAGGTGAGAGTCTGGTTAGTTCTAGCTCAGGTTGATTGATTTTTAAAATTTTCATCTTCCTTGCACTATGTGGTTATTATCACTTTTTGATGAGTTGTAGGGCATGCTGAGGTGCCGAGGAAACTCTCTACCTTGGTTTACTCGACAGGAGAAACACACCCTACCTGCCATCTTCAGATATGTTGAGGAGAAGGCATTTGTTTAAGATAAAGGACAATGGAACACAACTATATGCTAATGTAAATAAAAACGAGAGTAGGAAAATTTGAAGATGCTGAGAAATAGTGATCATCTGCAGGAATTAGCAGTTTTAAATGGTGAAAGGTACAGATTAGATCAACAAGAAAAGCAGGCCTTGTTAAAATTATGACCAAACTTTCATAAATTTAGCTAAAGAACTGCTGATAACTTACATTTTTATGGATAGCCAAAGTGAGAATGAGGGATTGGAAAGGCAGAGATGTCCAGAGGATGAGGGAATGAAGTTCAAAGCCCACGAGATCCAGACTGAGTAAAAGAGATTAATCTAGACCGACAAATTCATATTTTGAGAAATGTATTGACTGGGGTGTATTATGTGCCACTCACAGTTTCCTGGTGTTTGTGTGTCTGTGCTTATCTGCATGTTCAGAGAGAGGTAGAGACATAGATACATCCCGCTGTAAAGAAAAACAGAAGTTCCTACAATGAGGCAGATTAATGAGGAGACTTTCTTCTTTGCAAGGGAACAAAAGGAAAGTCCTCAAAACAGAGAAGAAGAGCTATGAACATGGATTAACCCCAAACAGAATCTCCCCAAAAGGCCTTACTGTTTTGTGGGCAGTAAGGGATGGATGATTCTTCTTGGACTCCTGGAGCATTGATATTTAGCCAGCACTTCCTAGTAGTTTTGTTCTAAATTATCATTTCTATCCACCCTTCACTGAAGCCTGTAACTGGCATGTAGTCTACAATCTGGTGTGTGTTGCTTTGGGGAATTTAAGGAGCAAAGCAGTCAAGCGAAGCATTAACGTCCTTGCATTCCCACCCTCATTGCTCCGTCTCAAAGGGCAACCGGTCCTGGTCCTCCAGAGACCAGCAGCCAAGTGGATCTGGGAATTCCCTGAGACGGGTGTGAAACATGGAGGCGCCACTGGCAGGTGGAAACCCAGGAGTGGAGAGGAGACAAATTCCCTGTCCAAAAGCAAACTGGACATCTCCCAAAGACCCTGGAGGTCAGGACGATGGGAAAACCTTTGTGTGGTTCCTTCCATGTAGGGCGTGGCTATGGAGTGGGCTGCTCAGCTGGAGAGAAGATGAGGTTCCTTAGGTATTTTGGACTGAGGAGTTTCAGAGCATGGAACATGGTGGGCAGCTGGGTCCCAGGAAATGAGCAAGCAGCTGGACAAGCAGACATTCAGAGACATGGTGGGATAATGGAAAGGAAGGACGGGAAAGTTTGGGGACCTACACCTAGCTTTTCTGTTGTCTCTCTTCACACATTTATGCTGCGGGACATCTCAGGTCCCGCCTGGCACCGTGTTTGTCCAGCCTCTGAAGTGGGGAGCAAATGCGAAGGATGTAGGTGGCTACTCAGGAAAAGGGGGCAGGCAAGAGGCCCCTCATTAGTTTGGCTGCTTTCCAAAAGGGGGAGACTATCAGAAACCCCCCTCCAATAAGTGTTCCCGAGCCCAGGCAGAACAGGGACAAGGCAGGAAGTGGGAGCCTTACAATCTGATCCCATGATCTGGACAGAGGTCCCCCAGGCTGGCGAGGAGAGGAGGGAGCCAGCATGACTCTGCCAGTGAGGATCAGAGAACTCTTCTGGGGGCAGCACTTCTGAAATCAGGCTGGAAGTTTTTGTCATAAAAATGGGATGGCTGAAAAACCCCCATAATATGATAAAAGCTAAAGGATGCACAAGAGGGGAAGTGAGCTGGGGTAGCAGGAATTCTAGATTCCATGGGTATGGTTTGACGGTAAAGCAAATGAACGGTAAGATGGTGGCTAGGGGACAAGGAAGCCTAGATCTCAAAACCATGCAGGTGCATGGTGACAACGCAGATAATTTCTATTCATATTGACCTTCTCTGCTTTTCTATCCGCCTCCACCAAGCAGTGAGGGAGGGCAGGGTAGAAGTAGACATAATGTTCTTTCTAATCCTTGAATAGGGGCTTGTTTACCTCAGTGGAAGATAGAGCACGCACATTTCCCTGCAATTTTCTTTGTCTCCTCATATTGAGTCCCTAGACCACTAGTCCCAGTTGCCATGGAAACAGAAGCTGAGTGCCTGATGCAATCAATAGACTGTGGGAGAAAAGCAGAATTGGTCCTTGAAATAAAGGTTCCTGAGAGAGGTGATTTTAGCAAAGCAGCCACATGGAAAGGATTCATTATTTCCACAGATGTACTGAGCCTGAGATTATTAGTATGCAAACGCATGTGCACACACACACACACACACACACACACACACACACACACACGCACGCACACACACACACACAGTCTTCATCTGGAACAGATATGCACAGTGCATCACATGAGCTGGCCCTTAGGATTCTTGTGAGTGAGACCATGCTGTGACCACAAAAAGGGGTTGGAATTAATGCAGTTAGGAGGCCCAGGGAGGGGAGTTGTTCCCTTAAACTTGCTTTTTGAAACCTCACTGCCCCCTTCATCCTGGCCCTTGCTCTTAGTCCATGTTCGTTTATGACCCTTTGGAAAAGCACTTGTCTCCCCACCTCTTTCTCTTTATTCCTCCATCCACTTCCTCTAAATCCCTTTCCTCTTCCTGCTCTCTTGCTGCCTCCCTTCAACATCCATCGTCATCCCCTGACCTTTCCTCTCTCCCTCCTCCCTCTATCCTACCTGCCTTGTCTTCCCATTTGTCCTCCCTTCACTGTCCCATATCCCTCATGCCTCCTGTATTTTTCAGTTTCTTAGTCTTGTCCCCCTTTGTGTCTGCCTCTTTTTCCTTCCCCCTCCCCTCTATGCCTTTTCTTCCTCTCACCGTCCCTCCTCTTGCCCCTCCCTGCGATTTCTGGAGCGACTGATAATTCCTTCGTTCATTTATGACGGGCCTCGTACGGGCCGTGGGTGTTCAGCTTTCAGCCTTGTAGGTCAGTGCATCGTAAGGGTCATCGCGGACGTAATTGTTCTCTTGCAAATTACAGTTACTGATATGGGATTAAATGACAGGGAACTATGAGTGCAGACAACAAGGGAACTAACTTCTGTGGTGGGCTCACTGAAGAAAACGCCCTTGACATTTGTTGTTCAGCCGTCCAGCATCCTGTCGTTGCCTCTTTGCATAACTGCCTTCCCTTTTTTGTGGGGAGCATCTGTCCTGGGACTCTCTCACATGGTGTCCTGCCCTCCACTACACGAGATGTAGTCCCATTAGATGCCCATTCCCTGCCATGTAACTAACTGTCAGATCAAAACAGGATCAAAAGCTGTTTCAGCTTGTCCACAGACTCTTGCCTCTGCTACCAGGTTCCCCGGGGGCACCTTTGTTCGTGTACTTCTCTCATCCCTTCTCTTTTTCACCCACAAGCCTGGCTTCTGGGAGGGGGGTCTTCCCTCTCCTTCTTTCCTGGCTGGATCCTTTTGTTGTTGTTGTTAAGCCTTAACCCCACAAAGACAAAGAGAATGAGTCAGGAGACAATACAACTAAAATATCAAAAGATTGGAAAGAGACAGGAGGGTGATTACTGACTTAGCTGGCTTAAGAGAGCTTGAGCTGAAAGCAGCAGTGAGGGAATCTAAAAAGCAACTGACTTAACCCCTCTCACCAGACCATCACGCTGTCTGCAAGACTGGCATTGGCATGTATTCCTGCCCTCTCAGGGCAATGGCAGGGGCTATAACTTGCATGATTGCTCTAAAGCACATTTAAGAATCATTTACAGCCGGGCTCGGTGGCTCAGCCTATAATCCCGCGCCTTTGGGAGGCTGAGGTGAGTGAATTGCCTGAGCCTGCGGGTTCGAGACCCGCCTGGGCAGCGAGACCTCATCTCTACAATAAATCAAAAAATCAGCCGGGCGTGATGGCGGCATGCCTGTAATTCCGGCTACTCGGAA